GTGGGTCTCCCAAAACAAACCTCTCAGTTGAACCAGGAAACGCAGTAAGGAAAACTGGGAATTAGACCAGCTGGGACAGGTTAGGGTTAGGCCCTGTCTGCCTCCATTCCCTGTGGATTCCACAGAATCTCACAACAGAATCACCATTCATGCTTCACCTCATCACACTGTGTCAGAGGCACTCTTTATCAACCACTGACCACACAGGCCTGAAAGTCAGTTAGGCAGGCCATTGCCATGCTCCTTTGGCTCTGTGGTTAAGAACATTGGCTGCCCTTCCAGAGGACCTGAGTTCAATTCCCAGAACCCACTTGGCAGCTCACAATTGTCTACTGCTCCAGTTCCAGGGAATCAAACACACACACACAGAGAGACATGCATGCAGGCCAAATATTAATGTTAATAAAATAAAAACAAATAAAATTTAAAAAGAGAAAACAAAGCCAACCAAGAAAACAAAAAACCCCAAAACCAAAACCAACCAATCAAATTCCTTAACTCATTCACAACCTATTGCAGACCACTTGCAGGGCCTGTACTTCCTCTCTGGTACCACATCTTGGGGACTCCTACAAACTTTCTTGCAGACCCAGAGTTCCTCCTTCCTGTAGACCATCTCCTCTCCCTCTCACTTCTCGCCCATCCACAATCCTCTTATCAGCTCTAGTACCTTAAAATACACATAAGCCAAAATGCCCAATGGCGACACCTATCAGGATCTCAGAAGAATTTCATACCATGCAATTCATAGCCTGTACATTTTCATAAGATCCAGAAGGGGAAACAAAAACCAATGAATGGAACACCCATTCAACAAAGAGAAGATCAGATGTCAATACCTACAAGCACAATCATCATAAACCCAGATACCTACACCAGTACAAAAATGCAATCATTAATGCCCAAGACAGTATGTATCCAAAAGAACCCAACAAAACTACCGTAGTAGTTCCTAAGAAATAGCTGGACCACAAAACACAGAATTCAAAAGAGCCAGTATGAATACGCTGAAGAACCATAAAGAAGATATGAATAAATCCTCCAATAAGTCTGGAAAAAAAATAAACAGTAGGAAAAATTAGGAAAAGAGTTCAAGACATGAAACTAGAAACAAAATCTCTCCCTCTCTTTTTCTCTATCTCAAACAGAAAGTAAAACAAACAAAAAAATCCAAACTGAGTTAAAAGTGTAAACGAAAAATTTAGAAAGTCAAATAAAAGGTTCAGAGGTAAATCTCTCTAATAGAGTACGAGAAATTGAAGATAAAAATCTCAGGAATTGAAGACAAGATAGAAAAAAATGGAAACCTCAGTCAAAGAAAATGATAAAGCTAAAAAAGCTAAGACACATAACATTCAGAAAATCTGAGACACTATGCAAACACTAAATCTACAAATAATAAGAATTGAGAAAAAAACACGTCAAATTTACAGAAAATATATTCAACAGTATCATAGAAGATACTTTGCCTAACCTAAAGAAGGGGGTGCCTATCGAGGTACAAGGAGCATAAAGAACATCAAATAGACTGGACTAGAAAAGAACATAATAATAATCCACACATAATAATCAAAATACTGAATAAACTTCCTAACTCTTTCTGAACTCTGGCTGGCTGGTTTAACAACTGTTCTGGCTCAATCTCCTCTCTAAGCTGGTTGATTCAATCTGGTTTCTCTCACCTCTGACTAAATTGTTTTGCTTGGCCTCAAACTGACTCTTGCAATCTATTCTAATCTTCTGGCTCATTCTCATTCTCTGGTTTGTTCTGTCTTTACCTGTGTCTAGTTTGTTTAACCCATCTCTGTAAAACTCTCCTGCAAAAACTTCCCTTTCTCTCTCTCTCTTTCCGTGTATCTTTTTGTTTCTCTCTCTTTCTGCAGTGCTCTCTCAAGTAATTTCTCTTTTCTCTCTGTACTTGTGATAGTTTTTCTGATTCTTCACTTTGACTACTCCTCAATTAGACACTGGTTTCAAACATGAGTGCTTCTTTCTACTGAAGAGTTTAAGATAGCCTGAATATAACTCCATTTTAAAATAAAGATCTTGACTGGGAACTGAATTCAGGTACCAGGAAATATCACAGAGTGTACACCTGGCAGAAAACAAAGTTAACTCTCCTAGCAACAGCCTCCAGGAGATATAACGAATAAATGCTTCATAGAAAATAGAGACAAATTTCCTGGCAATAATCAATGGGAATCAGTTGAGAATCGGGTGGGAAAATTCTTCCTTATGTTTCAGATAAGGTTTAGAAAAATAGCCATTGTGATTATATGCCTTAGCCATTGTGATTGTGTGCCTCAGAAAAGGTCACCCCGCTTGCTAAACTTCACCCAATTCTGTAACGCCAAGACTTGTGTCCCGCTGCTTGCTGCCACGGAAACCCCCGGCTCACAGACTTTCCCTTTAAAAATCCTGCTCACTCAGAGCTCGGGGTCCCACTTCTCTACTGCTGCGCCAGTGAGACTTGGGTCCTGAGTTCAATCGCTCTCGTAATAAAGCTCTCTTGCAATTGCATCGAGTTGTCTCCTGGTGGTCTCTGAGGGTCCCATGAACCTGGCATAACACTACAAACTAACTTAACCTTCATTATTTGGAATTAAAAATGTGTACTATGGACATGTCTACATTCCAGCTGGATTACACAGACCTAGAAGGTCTTTGGATGTTATCAGAACAGCCATGATACTGGATTAAAATTTCTCTACAAATGTTTACCTCTAATCTACCTGAGTCCTTTTACTTCTGCTCTCTTGTAACTCATCAAAGAACAATGAGGCACTAATTAGGCAATCACTTGATTTGGTATGGCACTCCTAGCCTTCAGAAACAACAGCTAAAAAAAAACTAGTTGCTTTATAAATTACTCAATCTTGAGTAAAGGTACCTAATGGAGTCCAGCTTTACTGGTTTCATAAAAATATTTTTTTTGTTTGTTTGTTTTTGGTTTTTGGTTTGTTTTTCAAATGCCTGAGCATGTATTTATAGTAATGTGCATTGGGGTTTCTGGAGACCCCAATAGTAGTCTCTATGGTTTATCTTTTTAAACCCATTTTTCTTTTTTTGGCCTGGGAAAACATTTGGATAGCATAAAAAGTGGTATTTCCTTGGGAAATGTTGATGTGGATCTTAAAATCTCATGAGAATTTTTATCCCCTCTTGACACTTTCATTCAGACAACAAGATCAGGAAAACTTCCAGATACCATAATTAACTCATTTTGTAGCAATGTGGGTAATAAGTAGAAAAATGATTTAAAATACACAAGTTAACTACAATTCTGAAATAAACTAGGTAATGAAATCATTTACAAGTATATCTTCACAGTGAGAAAAATAAACCATAGCCTCTGGTTTAGAGCTAGATGCCTTCAGAGAGGAGTACCTGTGCTCAGATCAGCAATGTACACTAGGGTAGTTAAATATAAATGCTCAGAGCACTTTGTCCATGTAGGACTATGCCTGAATTCCTTTAAGGTATTGTTCTTATGTTTCAAGTTAATGTCTGTATTTTAAAGATTTTTGACAAACTGATTTTGGATTTAAACAGATGAATATAATAAAAATTGGTTAGATTTAAATATAACAATAATTCTTGCTATTTCTAATTGTTTTTTTAAAGCATCATGGTATTTTTATTCAACCTTTTGAAATTTTACTCAAGAACAAAAGAAGATGAAGGCAAACCATGGAATAATGATAATTTAAAATGAATGTTTTTATATTAATTTGATATTTTAATTGTCAATATAATTAAATGAACTTTCATTAATAGATTCCATTCTAGTCCAGACTTTATTTTGGCTTAGTATGTCCAGGAATAGTTGGTGTAGATAATTGCTGAGGTTCAACAAAAGTATGATCTTACGTGTTGAATTTCTAACTTTGGTGTTTTAGCTGTCATTGCTGCCATGAGTCTATTTGTGTAAATTCCTTTAGTCGAGGATGAAAAATGTTTGAATAAGAACTAGTAAAGGATGGAGAAAAATTGTTATATTGAACAGTTTCTCTTACTTAATAATTTATATTCAGTAATCTTTCCCCCAAGCTCATGATTTTCTCTAAAAATTGTTATCTCAATAGATTTCCATATGGCAATGATTTGATATCCCCTGCTTCTAAAATTCACCTAAAACCATATTTTTTATGTTTGCGTTTTGGTGTTTTTTACATCAATGTTATTTTTTTTACTTGTTGCATTTTCAATACTGCCACTCCAGAAGACAATCACAGTAGTTTATTATTAACATTGGCTTTACCATACTATTCGTTATTGAGATAGAAAGTACACAGAGTATAAGGTAATAATAGAAATGAAAACAATTGAAATATTAATAAAACTGTAAAGGAAAGCACTTCCTAGGCCTCATTTAGACTTCTGATATAAGAACACAGTCATTAAGCTGGTGATAGGATTGATATCCTGCAACTTGATTAGTTGAAGTATTTGATGATAGTCTTTTATACTAAGATCTGAAGATGGCATGTGTGTGTCTATGTGCTTGTGTCTGACTGTGTGTGTTTGGGGGGGGGGAGGCTGGGAGCCAGGAGAAAGGGAGGAGTAGAGCTTAAAATACATCCTGCTGTGCTTCCAGTGACTTTGGATTTGTATGTAACTTTTAAGATTTTATTCAATAAAATCTCTTTAAGGAGAGAAAGAAAATACCATCCCAAACTTAAGGTATAAAAAGGAAGAAACAAAGCATTTTTCAGTTTCTTTAATTTCCCCTTGTTCACATAAGAGATGAACAAATAACACCATTATCTATGTTACTCACAAACAGAATTATAAATTAATATTCTTGTTTCCCCCCCAGATACCATGAAGCTATAAACTATGACTTTCCTGGTACAACCCTCCTTAGATGATGGAGTACTATGTTGCTCTGTCTAAAACCTGGCTTTTGCAATGTTGATGGTACTTTAGCATGATGTATCACCTGCATAGTTCTGTAGTGATTACCTCCCCCCCCCATTTTATTTAGACCAGCTGACAGCCAGAGGATCACAATGAAGAACCATACACGGGTGACAGTTTTCATCCTAGCAGGTTTGACTGATGACCCACAGTGGAAAGTCGTGTTATTCATCTTCCTGCTTCTTACTTATCTGTTCAGCATCACAGGCAATCTGATCATCATCACACTCACCCTGGTGGATACTCACCTGAAGACCCCCATGTATTTTTTCCTTCGGAATTTTTCCTTCTTAGAGATTTCCTACACTACTACATGCATTCCCAAACTGCTTGCTACTATGGCAACTGGAGACAAAACCATTTCTTATGGTAATTGTTTGACTCAAGTGTTTTTTGCTTTCCTGTTTGGAGCATCAGAATTTTACTTGCTGGCAGCCATGTCCTATGACCGATATGTAGCCATCTGCAAGCCTCTGCACTACATGACTATCATGAGCAACAAAGTCTGTGTGCAGCTGGTCCTCAGTTGTTGGCTTGCTGGATTTTTTGTCATCTTTCCACCACTCCTGTTAGGCTTGAATCTTGATTTCTGTGCTTCCAACATCGTTGACCATTTCTACTGTGACACCACTCCACTCCTGCAGCTTTCCTGCACAGACACACAGCTCCTGGAGATGATGGGATTTGTCTCTGCTTTGGTGACACTCTTACTCACCTTGGTAATGGTGATAATATCCTACACCTACATTGCCCTGACGATTCTAAAAATCCCTTCAACCAGCCAGAGGAAAAAGGCTTTCTCTACATGTTCTTCTCACATGATCGTGATATCCCTCTCATATGGCAGCTGCATCTTCATGTATGTTAAACCATCATTCAAGCAGAGAGTATCTATTTCCAAGGGAATTTCTGTGCTCAATACCTCAGTGGCTCCACTTCTGAATCCTTTTATCTACACCTTGAGGAATCAGCAAGTGAAAAAGGCATTTGTTAATACGATACAAAGGATTGCATCTTTCTCTAAGAAATAACTGTTCTATTTCATTACATAAAGGAAATGAAAAAACAAGATTCAGATCATATTAGCAGCACTTTGAAGAGGATTTCCGTGTTTTGTCTTTTGTTCTTCTTTTCACCTTCAAGCACTTTTCCAGTGAAATTTTTGATGTTAACAAGACAATTTCTTTCATATTTTCCAATAGAAATATTGGAAATATTTTAACCTGCTTATCTTCTTAGACATATAGAAAAAGTTGAATTCATATTTCAATGTCTTGTCAGTCTTTTATAATTCAGGTTATGAACTGGAGTAAGAAGTAGAATGCCTACACAGCATACAAAAGGCCTGAGTTTGAGCCTGTGCCGAAAAATAAACAACCATAGTTCATTTCTAAATTCCATTTAAATTTTTTTGAAAATGGTTTCACCTCAATTTATATTTAATGCAATGTATATTATAAAAGTTATTATTCTACCACATATTTATCACTAATCACAATCAAGGTAAAATAATATTAATTTGCACTTTACCAATTTTAATATATATTTTACTAAAAGAAATTAAGAGATTGTTAAGCTTTTCTCTATCACTTTTGATACTTATGGTATAGACAACAGATTTCAGAAATTGTCAAACTTTTCATGGAAAATAATTACTTATTTTTTATGGTTGAAATTGCATTCATAGTTTATAAGTAGATTTTTTGTCAATTTTTAAGAGGAGATATGTTAATCATACTTGTTTACCTTGAAAGAGAACCCCTCCTTCCTCTGATTCTTATAATTTTTTCCCTCTATTCTGCAAGAAATCCTGAGCCTTAGGGGCAGCAGTTCTGTTATAAATATATCCACTGGAACTGGACTCCACAAATCTGTCTTTTTGTTAACCATAGTTTTCTGTAATTCTTTCTGCATGTTGAAAAGATAAGTTTGTGGGTATAATGCCAATTATTTAGAAGTGTGACCAACATGGCTACCTAAACATGACCTGAATAAACCAATAGACATTCTAATGTGGAAGGAAGACAGTTCATACTGCATAAGCACTAAACAAAGAACTACAGGCAACTAAAGAATGCTGAATTCTGGAGAAATAGTCTTCCACAAGGAAAAGCACACCATTTGCTTAGCCAATTCCAAATATCAGCTCTGAAAAAAATTATAAGAAATGAGTTAGTTATATTTTATGCCTTTAGGAATACATATATTTGTATGCATATATGTACATGATGTATGTACATATGTTTAAGTAATGATGACTATATAAAGAATTAGAGGTTGTAATTTTGAAAGAGAGCAAAGGAAGTATGTGAGGAGATATGGAGGGAGGAAAAGGAAGGCAGAATTGATGTGATCATATTATAGTTTCAAAAAAGTTTAAAATCTTCAATGCTAACAATGTACTTATTAGTTTATTACATTTTAATCAAAATAGAATAACACTCCTCCCTTTCCATTTCTTCCCTCCAAACCCTCCCATTTATTTTCCCACTTCCAAGTTCATGAACTCTTTCATTTTTATTTTTATTTTATGTTGTTATTTATAGTGTATTAATTTCATTGTAACTGCATATGTATATATGTGCACAAGTACATAATTACAACCTGCTAAAATTGTTTATCTGTTGTACATAAAAGACCTATATGTAATATACAATTACAGAATCGCACATATATAAACATTCTTGTATGCTATACATTCCACCAGTGAAACCACGGTATTTTAAGAATTCATTCCTTTTACAAGATTTTTAATTTGTAGGTCAAAGTCTATTGAAGACTCAAATTTAAATTTCTGTATCCTAATCAGAATTTTTAAAAGTTAAGAACATTAAGCAGTATTTTCACAGATATTTTATTTATTAACTCTTTTATCTGTTTTTTAACATGTATTTTTACATGTATATTTTAAAATCTGTGAATCTTTTTGCTGTAAAATACTTAATTTCAGAAAACATGAAAATGACTTGTACCATTTGACAGCTGGGATTTTTTTTTAATGAAAATTTAACTTCATAAAAAAGGAAACTACAGACCAGTGTTACTAGAATAAACATGGATGTTAAGTGGATACCAACTAAACAAATGACTGAATCCTTGGGAGATAGTTTGTCTCTCCTTGAACTGATGTCTTTTGCACACACTGGGACTTAGTACCTAGTACTAAAGTCCTCTTTTGGGTGCTTCTATGCTCATTTCATGCCATCAAAAAGAGTCTGCATGAGCTCCTAAAGTCTGGCCTCTGCAGAATCCCTCTTGTGGCAGAAAGTTGGTAACTTGGGTGTAAAAGAAATTTCCAAGCACTGAGAGAAGCTGTTCCCTGGCATGGTGCTGCTACCTGACTCTTGAAATAAGATTCATGAACTTTTAGATAAAGGCTAATCTAAATCTGAGGTGAAGCAGTGCTGCACAGGAAGATCCTCTCTGTGAATAAAATACATGTTTTATTTTGCAATTAAAATGTAAAATAAGATTCTTGTCAGCTTAAAACTTTTATTTGTAAATATCTCAATGGAAAGCTTCAGCATTGTTATTATATCAAATAATCCTACAATATATTACATTTTGTAATACACATTCGTGTGCTGTGATGTGTGTGCCTGTGTACATGTGCTCAACAGTGTTCAGAAATGGAGATCCGAGAACAACCTGTGGTAATTGGTTTTGACCTCCCTCAAGGTTCTCAAGGATCAAATTTTGGTTGTCTGGCTTGGCAGCAATTGCCTTCTGTAAATGGCACTTTTATTTCCTTTATTTTATTCTTTCTGAACTCTAGTTGGCTGGTTCAACACAGCTGTTCTGGTTCAAAACTCCGCTCCAAGCTAATTGATTCAAACTCTTCTCTCATCTTTTCACTGAATTGCTTCATGAACTAAACTGAACTGCACCGAGCTCAGTTGAACTTTCCTCTCTCGCTGCACTGCTCTCAGCCTCTCTTTCAGATCCGTTCTCATGAGAGCTGGATATATCCTATCTCTGACTCATTATGCCAAGTCTTTTTCTGATTGGTCACTTTGTCTGCCCATAAACTAGACTTCATTGTTTGGGATTAAAAGAGTGTACTAAAGGTGTGTCTAAATTCCAGCCAGAGGGATTAATGCTGTGTACCAAAGGTGTGTCTCTACTGCAGCCTGATCAGAAAGACTTTGGATGTGATCCCTTCTCAAAGTAGTCATGTTGTACTTAAAACCCCTCTATATCTTCATTCATTGAGCCACCTCAATCATTTTAATATTATCTCCTGCTAACATGAACCCATGTTCAAGCTCATTAAAAAGCACATATCACTTATAAGTTGAATATAGACCATGTGTGTCTTTCTGCTTTTCAGATACCTCACTCAGGATGATCTTTTTTAGCTCCTACCATTTGCCTGCAAATTTCATGATTTCATTGTTTTAATTGCTGAGTAGTATTCCATTGTGTAAATGTACCACAATTTCTGTATCCACTCCTCAACTGAGGGACATCTGGATTGTTTCCAGTTTTTGACTATTACGAATAAAGCTGCTATGATCACGGTTGAGCAAATGTCCTTCTTGTATACTTGAGCGTAGTTTGGATATATGCCTAGGAGTGGTATAGCTCCTAGCTATATCCCTAATTGTCTGAGAAAGACCCAGATTGATTTCCAAAGTGGATATTAGATATATAATATAGGATAAACATACTAAAATCTGTACACCTAAAGAAGCTAAGCAAGAAGAAGGACCCTAGGTAAGATGATCGCTCCTCACTCAGAAAGGCAAATGGGACAGACATCAGAAGAGGGAGAAAACAGGGAACAGGAGCCTATCATAGAGGGCCTCTGAAAGACTCTACCCAGAAGGGTATTGAAGCAGATGCTGAGACTCTAGCCAAACACTAGGCCGAGTGCAGGGAATCTTATGAAAGAAGGGAGAGATAGAAAGACCTGGAAGGAACAGGAACTCCACAAGGAGAACAACAGAACCAAAAAATATGGGTTTAGTGGTATTTTCTGAGACTGATACTCTAACCAAGGACCATTCATGGATATAACCTAGAACCCCTGCACAGATGTAGCCCATGGCAGCTCAGTGTCCAAGTGGCTTCTCTCATAAGGGAAACAGGGACTGTCTCTGACATGAACTCAGTGGCTGGCTCTTTGACCACCTCCCCCTGAGGATTGGGGCAGCCTTACCAGGCCACAGAGGAAGACAATGCAGTCAGTCCTTATGAGACCTGATAAGCTAGGGTCAGATGAAAGGGTAGGAGGACCTCCCCAATCAGTGGACTAGGGCAGGGGCATACAGGGAGAAGAGGGAGTGAGGGTGGGATTGGGAGGAGTTGAGGTAGGAAGCCACAGCCAGGATGGGATACAAAGTGAATAAATTGTAATAAATAATAATAATAAAATTACAATTGGAAAAAAATCGTTATTCACAAGACTGTGAGATAATGTTTGTCAAAGGAAAAAAACATATATCTATTCAAAAAATAAGAAATCTGAAGACTTTTATAAAAGTATCTATTTTAATTTATATTTTGTACAGATGTGTATGTTTTTATATGGGTATTTATTTGTAAATAACTTAATGGAAATTTATACATATATATTTTAATGTTATAAAATACAAACAATATTTAAACATTGAAATTTACATCAATAATTAAACAAAGAGAAGCAATTAATTTGAAAGAGTATAAAACAGGGATACAAAAAAGAAACAAACATTTTGGATCTGTTGCTCTCCTTGTGGAGTTCCTGTTCTCTCCAGGAATTATTCTCTCCTACTACTCTGCCCAAAGTTTGGCCATGAGTCTCAGCATTTGACTCGATGGAGATGGTCTGGAACCCCTGCACAGACGTAGCCCATGGCAGTTCAGTGTCCAAGTGGGTTCTATAGTAATGGTGACAGGGACTGTCTGACAGGAACTGATTGGCCTGCTCTTTGATCATCTCCCCCTGAGGGGGGAGCAGCCTTACCAGGCCACAGAAGAAGAAAATGCAGCCACTCCTGATGAGACCTGATAGACTAGGATCAGAGGGAAGGGGAAGAGGACCTCCCCC